ACTTTGTTCTGCTGCTTCAGACCAACACGGCTACCCCACCTGAATCTATTTTCAGTCCAGAGTACCTGTGATGAACTCATCTTTCTCTTGGTGTCATTACCCTGAAGGTCCTTCACGGGAACCTCACAAGTCAGCTGGACACAGGGGACCAACCTGTTCTTTAAGCCCAATTGTAGGCCTCTCAGTATAGTCTCATCTGACTGGCACTGGCTATCCAGGGTCTCTGACAGAAATCTTTCTTATTATCTGCTACCTCATCCTTTAGACAGATGTGTTAGGGATTCAAGCAGAGAAAACACGCTATGCTCTAGAGCCCCAGGTAATTCGAGATATACTGCCCTCTTAGCTACAATGGCTAACCACATAGATCCAAGGCAAACAGAGACAGGGCCAGTTTGGTGTAGTGGTTAGGAGTGTGGACTCGATAATCTGGGAGAACCAGGTTTGATTCCCCACTCCTTCACATGCACCTGCTGGTGTGGCCTTGGGTCACTTACAAGTTCTTCCAGAGCTGTTCCCTCAAGTGCAGTTCTCGAAAGAGCTCTCTCAGCCCCACCTAGCTCACAGGGGTGTCTGCTCTGGGGAGCAGAAGGGAAAGGAGATTGTAAGCCTCTCTGAGACTCTTTTGGGTAGTGAAGGGCAGGGTATAAATCCAATCTCTTCTTCTTCCTATACTTTTAAGAGTTGTGTAGAAGAGGTAATTTTGGCAGGTGCAGCTTAACTAACACAGGTAACAAAAACTACACCATTGAAATATACTCCTACGGAACTATCAGACATACAGAAGCCACCCCCCATTGCTTCTGATCTCTGAAGCATTTCTCCACAAATTTTTCTAATGTTTTACAATAATCCAATCTTAATTCTGAGACAAATAAAATTAATTTCAATAGAGATAAGTGCAAAGTCCTACACTTGGGTACAAAAAAATCAAAGGCACAGATATAGAATGGGAGGGACTTGTCTTGACAGCAGCACATGTGAAAGGGATCTAGGTGTTCTGGTTGATCACAAGCTGAACATGAACCTGCAGTGTGATGTGACTGCGAAGAAAGCTAATGCAATTTTAGGATGCATTAACAGAAGCATTGTGTCCAGATCACGGGGGGTGGTAGTTCCGCTCTATTCTGCTATGGTCAGGCCTCACCTGGAGTACTGTGTTCAGTTTTGGGCATTTTAGGAAGGATGTTGACAAGCTCGAGCGTGTCCAGAAGAGGGCAACCAGGATGGTGAGAGGGTTGGAATCCAGGTCTTATGAGGAAAGGTTGAAAGAGTTGGGTATGTTTAGCCTGGGAAAGAGAAGGCTTAGAGGGGACATGATTGCAGTCTTCAAATAAATGAAGGGCTGTCATGTAGAAGATGGAGTAGATCTATTCTCTCTTGCTCCGGATTGCAAGACTAGAACTAATGGGTGGAAATTACAAGGGAGTCGTTACTGGCTAAATATCAGGAGAAACTTCCTAACTGTAAGAGTGGTTGAGCAGTGGAACAGACTGCCTCGGGAGGTGGTGGATGCTCCTTCGCTGGACATTTTCAAGCGGAGGCTGGACGACCATCTTTCGGGTATGTTGTAGGGCTATCTTTCGGCTATGCTGCTGCAGAGTGCAGGGGGTTGGACTAGATGACCTACAAGGCCCCTTCCAACTCTAACATTCTCTGATTCTCTATGATTCTATGAATTCCCATTGATGGGAAGTTTAAGTAAGTACTAAAGTTTCCCATGGAATTCAATATGCCGAACTCTGGATGGATCGTGCCTCTTGTATTTACATCTTTAAGCAACCCCAAACAAAGAAGAAATTACAAACTGTCAACTCAAACTGAAAGGGAGAACAAATATCACACCATAAAATATTTATTAGGAAACAAACAATCTTTTGTCTTCACTTATAAGAATCACCTACTCAAGTGCCCTTTCAAGGATTTTGTTTTAAAAAATTATGCCAAACATTACCATTGGTTTTACATTATTATACAAGACATATAAAACACCACATGTCACAAACTTTTTTTAAAAAAAAAATTACAACTCAGAGCATATTCCCCATCTGTTGTAAATTAATTTCTAAATAGTTTTGATTTAACTTTTTCATAGACAAGTAAACAAAGAGATTCACCTGATTCTTTATGTAAGCAAAAGGGTGTGTGCGGTGAAAGCTGTGAAACTTAAAACTCTAGGAGAGAGAAGACGAGATGGCTAACTTCATTCACAGCTGGGGGGGAAGCTAACCTCCATGTCTGAGCCCATCTCCTTGAAGAGTAACAGTGGGGCTAATCAAGTGAGCTCCTAAGCATCCTCAATGTCATTTCAAGCCAAAAACACTTGGGAGAGGAAACATCCCAGTCCACACAAGAAGTTTTCAGTGGTATCTCCCAAAGGTGAGACCTGGGTGTTTCCAGACAGCCTTAACGTTTCAGTTTCATTTCCCTTCGTTACCATTTCCCCTCTTTGTTTCCACACAGCTGAACTAGCAATCCATTGCCATCCTACTTTTTCAACGTGTTTCCCCCACTCTTGCTGAAACTTGGGAAAAACAGGTTTCAGAAAGAGCAGGAAGAAAAACGTTGAAAAAACAGGACAGCAAGGGATAGGAGGAGGTGGAGGAGGAGACTGGATTTATATCCTGCCCTTCACTCGGAGTCTCAGAGCAGTTTACAATCTCCTTTCCCTTCTCCTCCCCACAACAGACACCCTGTGAGGTAGGTAGGGCTGAGAGAGGTCTGAGAGAGCTGCTCTTGAGAGAACAGCTCTGAGAGAACTGTGACTGACCCAAGGTCACCCAGCTGGCTGCATGTGGAGGAGGAGCGGGGAAATCAAACCAGATCAGAGTCAGCCACTCTTAACTACTACATCAAAGTGGCTCTCAACAGCTAACAAAGCGGTGTGGAAACAAGGAGAGAAAAGGTAACAGAAGGAAATGAAACTGGAACATTAAAGCTATCTGGAAAATGCAAATGTCTGCTACTCAAACACAGTAAGCTGTAGTACTTTGTAGGGGGCAATCATCAATCAGGTGCTTTTGATGCAGTAGATTCTTACATGGTATAAGATTCATACATGTAAAAGCTCTGAAGGAGAGTGCACACCGTTTTCTGGGCGGGAATACTATCTGTGCCTTCTTATTTTTATTTCATTGGTTAAGATGCTTCCCCCCCCCCTTTTGTGTCTTTTTTACTTGTGCATGTAAAAAAAAATTTTTTTAAGCCAATGGATTTAGCACAGTGTCAACACATGTCTGGCTTTTGTAAACAGAAACATATTGAATGTTTCATTTATTGCTGCTTTTAAACGTGGAGACAAATCTTACAGCACAAGATCATGCATGTTTACCCAGAAGAAAACCCCACTGTTATCCATGCAGCTCACACCTACATACATCTTGCAAAGGATTGCAGCCCTACAAGCCCTGGGCTCCCAAGGCATAAAATGGATGTAAATACTTCTGCAGACCTTCCAGTTCTTTTTTTTAACAGCTGCCATAACTTTAGCTGATTGACAGGATCCATCAGGATTAGTGCAATAGCATTCTTTCAGATCATGCTCATTCACCTGGAAGATTTTAACTCCCCCAAAGCTTTTACCCTATACAGAAATAATTTGTTAATAAAGTAATTTTTACACAGTGGAAAGCTACAAAGATGTTGCTGTCCGCTATTCCCCTCCCCAAAGCATTTAGGTGATGCCGGTATTTACTTCTAGCACCCTTTAAAGAAATCCTTCTACAACTGTACCATTATACCTGTGCGAGCCATTCCATATTCAGTTGTTTGGACTTTCACATGCGCACACACAGAGGTGGTCAGCAAGAGCGGTATTAGAAACGAACTCCACTTTCTGTGGCCCACACCACCTGGGCCTGGATTTCATTTTTAGATTCCATTTAACCAGAAAGTGGGGTCCTGCTGGAGACACCCTTGGATGCAATCCATCGCATGCCACTGAAGCTAAACTATAAAGCAAGTGTATTTTGAAGACTGCAGTAGCCTCTGCAAACTTTGTCTGCAAATGCAATCAGACTTGAAACGTGCAGGACCAAAAGCCAAAACCATAGTTTTTGTGGTTATTCCAGGCTGGAACAAAACCTTTTCCACTTCTGATCTGAAAACTGTTGAGGTAAGCAACACTTTTGCAAAATGTTAGAAGTTCCTGACCATTCCTGAAACCAACAAGTTCTTGAAACCAACAAACTTCCTTTGCATCTCGGTCCAAGAAACCAAGGGGGCTTCAGGGGCTTGTAACATTCCTTTGTGCCACTTGACTAACCTCTCTAAGGGGACTTTCAAGGGCAGGTATAGCTAATGAAAGAAAAAAAAGGGGGGGTGGCGGCAAACTCTTTGGATCCCAGCCAATGAATGAAAGGACCCAAAAACGTTGGATGACTTCAGGCCCCTCTGGAAATGAAATTGTTTGCACATTTCCTACAGAGGAAGTTATTCGTCATAAAATATAGTCATTTCAAATTAAGCTCCAAGGACTCTGTAACTAACAAGGAATGCACTGTTATCGCCTTCTGTCATCACTGTGATTGTCAGTACAACAAATAGGAAGTGTACTTAGAGGACGAGGGGGGGGGGAAGGGTAAGAAAAGATGCTTTTAAAACACTATCTTGTACAGCATAACAAGACCTTTTCTATTATCTAGGCAAATTCCTCTATGCTGCTCCTGAAGGGCACTTATTGGCTGAAGCATCTAATCACTCTCACATACACGTGACTGGCTGAAATGTAGATACCTCTCCAGCGTAATACTTTGCCTCTGTAAATCATGCAATGGAATGGAAGCACTATCTGGAAATGTTAATTCAAAAATATCTTCATACAGGGTGTTCTCCTTTTTTTGGCAAATAAATCCAACAAAAAGAAAACCATTTATAAACACGGTCTGACATGCAGGAGCCATCCAAAATTATTTACAAATGATGTTCAGCAAACTTTGTCCCAAAAGCATTTCTTGTCTGCTCGCAGTCTGTTGCAGCAATATATATATATTTTTTGCTTCCGTGGTTGATTCCTCTCCCCCACCCCCCAAAGTTATACAGTCACTGCTGGGTACATCTTCTGTTCACTATTACTGTGAGGATAAGGAGACTGAATTGGCCTGTATCCACTTTGCAGACCGTCCAAAAAAGGTGGGACGGGGGGCATGGAGTCATGTTGCACAGCATATCCTACGTACTGCGGGTGCAAATACTGTCCTTGGTGTGGCACTATCTGTGTAGCCTGCTGGCAGTTCAGTACTGAGAAATTTGTAGGCATGTTGACGTATACATTATTCATGGTCCCTTCTGGTAAACAGCAGTTGGTTTGTGACCTGGTAGGGGGGCCCCTGGCACCTGAGTTGGCACTGGAACTGGAGCTGGCAGCAGTACTTGATTGACGTGAGGAGGACCCTCGGGAGGTGCTGGCACTTGGAATCATGGGAATGGTCTCCATCATCCGGTTACCTCCAGGAGCTCTGCTCTGCTGGGGTTCTTGCTTGGGTCGCAGGCATCGGCAGCAGCAAGCTGCGACCAGAGAGCCCAGGATGATGAACGCGACAAAAACAGATCCGACGATAAGGAACGGCACATAGATAGGCACTGCCAACAGAAAACAAAGCATTCAGACACCATCATCGCACAAATATGCATTACAAAGCAACATGATGAGGCTTGTGCCTTTGTAAAAAAAAACCAAATGTTAGTACATTCGCTTAAACTGTAATGGAAGAGAACATTTTTACAAGTATGCATTTTCCTAGCTGCTTTTCTTCTTATATTTAATAGGGGGAGGGGAACTATTGTAGGACTGCTTTTTGACAAGTTCACAGCATGGAAATAAGACCTGTTTTGAGTACAAAATAAAAATATAATTAAACAACGCTGGCAGCATCAACATTCAGAACTGTTGATACTGTGTTTTCTAACTGGGCCACTAGGCTATTGTTGACCACAAGGCAAAGACCATATTTCTTCAAGATCAAGAAGCCAGTAGCAAAAGAACAGCACTGCATCAACCAGACAATGAATCTGTCTAGAACAGACTACATGATGAAATGCCTTTAACTTCCTTCTCTTTAAGCAATCCACCAAGCACGGCTGTTGCCTGAAAGCTGCGAATTTCAATGGGGGACTTGCACAAACTTTGTTCCGAGCATCGGTGAAATTAATGCACGCTCTGCAATGCGTACGTTTTTCAGGAGTAAACCATCTCTAATTATAACATCACTTCAGGCTAGTGCTGGTAAGCTCAGGATTCACAAACAGCAACCCAAGTGCTGGATATCTATCAAGGCTTCCCCAAAGAGATGTCAAAAGACTGAAGTTTACCCTTGAAATCCAGTTACATAAGCACATGATTAAGAGGTGGTGTGGCTTATTTATTTATGGTTAAAGCAAGAGGTAGGTTAGACAGTAAAATGACATGCCGCATTTCTTAGGGATATTTTTTGAGGAAAATTTCTGCTTTTCAGAGTTTTTCTCAGTAGTATTTTTAATTGGATGGATACAAAAATCAACACTAAAAAAGGATACCAATACAATAGTAACATTTGTAAAGTCTGAATGATCTGCTGAAACAGACTACAGTCACCCACACAGATAACTAGGACCTTGTTTCTCCCTCTTTCATCAGTGTTCTGGTTATGTAAGAAGGATGTTTCATTTTCCTATTTCAGAAGCATTTTACTCCCCTTTTCCCACACAAATAAAGAACTGCACAAATCTATCTGATAAGCATATCTGCCCATCCCCCTTTTTTGCTGCCTGATAAGCATTTAAATCACATTTAAAGCTTCCTTTATTTATTTAATTTATTTAAAACATTTATCTGCCGCCTTTCCACCCAAATAGGGTCCTCTTTGGTAATACACTTACTGGGACCTATCCAGGGATATGTGAAATGAGGCCAGAGAGTAGACAGTATGAAACACACAGAGGAGGAGGGGGAGGAGGAGATTGGATTTATACCCCGCCCTTCACTACCTGAAGGAGTCTCAGAGCAGTTTACAATCTCCTTTGCCATCCCCTCCCCACAACAGACACCCTGTGAGGTAGGTGGGGCTGAGAGAGCTCTTTTGAGGACTGCTCTTCAGAGAACAGCTCTGAAAGAACTTGTGATTGACCCAAGGTCACCCAGCAGTTGCATGTGGAGGACTGGGGAATCCAACCCGGCTCTCCCAGATTAGAGTCCGCGCTCTTAACCACTACACCACACTGGCTATGAAACAGAGCTGTCCTGGTTCAAATCCTGCTCCTGCCATGACACTATTACATAACTGTAGGCAAACCACCAAGGGGTTATGTCTCAGTGGTAGACCATCCGCTTTCCATGCAGGAGGTCCCAAGTTTTAATCCCTTGCATCTCCAGCTAAAAGGATCAGGTAGTAAGTGATGGCAAAGGCTGAGATCCTGGAGGACTGCTGCCAGACAGAGTAGACAACACTGACCTTGGCAGACCAATGGTCTTACTCAGTAAAAAGCAGGTTCACGTGACCCTCTTTTCCTCAGCTTCTAACTCACATCTATAATGTAGGGAATGATACTGACCTATCTTAGAGAGCAGTATAAAGATTATATTGGCTAATACATGCAAAGATTTTTGAACACTATAAAATGCCCCCTTGTCAACACATCAAGGAGGTGACCCTTCATCCACAAGGGCAGGCTGTATCTGGCAAGTGGTGGGAGCTTCAAGGGCGTGGACGTGTCATCTGTGCCATGACGTCACTTCCAGGAAAATCCAGAAGTGACATTGGGTAGTGCTAGGAATTGCCAGAAACAGTATGGTAAAATCTAGTGTGACTTCTGGGTTTCCCCTGGAAAGTGATGTTTCAGTGAAGACAACGCTGATAGCCTTTATTTTAGTGAGAGGCCTGGCAGCCCTATCACCCCCCACCCTAGAAAAAGGATTAAGAAGAGGAGAGTCCAGGTTCTCACTTAATACAGAGCTCCTATCTGGGAGATATCCCTAAGCTGTGTAAAGTGCACCTCCTGAATGAATGGGACCCCAGTTACTTCAACCTCCCTATCATAACCAACTGTTTTAATCATTTTGTAAACAAACACACCTACTTGGGGGAGGAGGTTGCAAACTAAAGAGAAGTCTAGCCGTATGCACCAAATAGAGTTCGCAAACAAGAATTCTTCCATGACAAGATACAGTTCCGTCTCACGGAACCTGACTCTCCACTCTTCAACCTGGGAGTTCTAAAAACTCTCCCAGGGACCTCACTGTCTCTCCCAGAGGAGCTGTTCTCTTTTTCTAACCAGGAGGTCCCAACACACCTCTTGGGAGGCTTGCCCTTCCAGCCCTCAATAAGCCAAGGTGCCCTCCCTAAGAAGCCTCTCACACCGTGTTCCATCACGGGACTGTCCTTGTTGCACTGGGTTTCAGTAGGTCTGCTTCCCAGCTGCCTCACAGGCATAACTTTATCACCGCCTGGCAGAAACCGGTTTTCCTTCACTTGTTAGCCCCAGAGGAGCTATTCTAAATATTATTATTATCTGTATTCTAAGATGCTTGAGAAGATACATCCTCATTGATACTGCCAGCAGGGTTCACATGGGTCAGGAGTGATCCACATCTGTTCTGCATTGGTCAGGTATTGGATGCTGCACGCAAAGTTCCTTATTGTGCATGGAGAAAAGCAGGCACAGCCCCAACTGCTGAATGTGGGCATCCTGTAAAGAGGATCTGTATGCACAGCACTCTGGGGACCAGCCCCGTAGCTAACAACTTTTTGCTCAGGGGGGGGGGGCAATGTTTTTCTCGGGGACCTTAATGGAAAATCCACTCTACATTTTCTTTGCAACTCTTGAGCTAAGATAAAAATGGGTGAGCCGGAGGCTAAAAAACTGTGAGCTAGCTCACCCTAACCCAGCTTAGAGGGAACTCAGGCTCTGCTCCTCTTTCTGTTTGTCCCCTTGTCGTCCTGCTGGGGGTGTTTCCAGGGGGCCATCCAAATGGAGAGGGGGAATGTAGTCATCGCAACCCCCCGGCTGGGACTCGGAGGGGGGGAAAGTCTAAGGAGCAGCACAAGAAATGAGAAGCTGCTGGAGACTGACTGATTTTCACCTCTCCGCCTCTCTGCCGCTCCGGCAGCGTTCTGGGGCTCTTCTACCCGGCAACAGCTAGTCAGCACTTGGGGCCTTTTCTCATTGGCTGCCTCAGCTCCGTCCAGTGCCTCTGCCCAACACCCGCTGTTGCTCCCATAGCTGCCTGGACCTCCCTCCACACTGGACTTCTCCCACCTCGGCAAAGGCAGCAGGAATGGGGGCTTGGCGGGGGGCCTGTGGCTCCTGCTGCCCCTCCTGAGTGGGCTCCTGGTGGTAGGTAAGCCCACCCCACCCAGGGGGAGGGACCCATAAAATCATTGGGGCGGCCTGGGCCCCGTGGGCCCCACAGTAGCTACGGACCTGCTGGGGACAGATGCTGACTCAAACACATCAATCCAAAAACCTCCCTGGATCAAGGCAATTGTGTGTATCAGGCAGAATATCAAGTTAAGTTTGTTTAGAAGTAGTGGACCTGTTTGAATCCTAGAACAGCGATGAAGTTCAAGAAGTCACTGTTCCCTGTTATACATATCACAGAACTCTCACCTTTGAAGGGTGTAACTCTGCTTAGGACTACACTGCTATACAGGTAAGTTCTAGTACAGAGTAACACCAAACAGCACTGCTTTATAGAAAACCACCCTGGACACAACTGCAATAAAATTATACCGTACTGTAATAAAATGTCCTTTATAAGACTTAATTTAAACCATCCATATTAAATTAATTTAAACTAAATGTGGATTTGCCTCTAGAGCAAAGGACTGCTGAACTGAGACCCCTCTGTGCAGAAATTCCTAAGAATGAAGCTTATGAGCCTAGCCAGTTTTGTGGCAACGGTTCGACTGAGACAGACAGCCTGTATCCAATCACTCTGCTCAGCAAAATCTGAAGCCTCCATATAGCCTAAGGAGCCTTCTCACACAATGTCAATGGCTCTTAATGGAGAAAGGCTTCAAATTCCCTGAGCAGAGTGGCTAGGGTAGTAGTACAATACATAGCAGGCCTCAAGTTGTATACTGGACTGGGTTTGAACCAGAAAGCAGGAAATAGGGCAGCACTAGGGACGCACACAGAAGTATGGCTTAGGTTATAGTCAGACCCATGCTCTTGAAGGACCACAAATTCCTGGAGCCTGTACCACAGGTGGCACCAATACCACAAGCTGACCATCCACAAACTGAATAGTCATTGTATGGCTGGAAATGGGGTGTGTGTGTGTGGGGGGGGTCATCAAAATCCCAAATGTGTAAAAACCATTAGTGTAAATGCAGTCTACTAGTCACAGTACAGCAGAGGTGCACTTCTGGGTATATGTATAAGTGCCATCAAGTTGCAGTTAACCAATGGCAACACTGTAGGGTTTTCAAGGTAAGAGACAAACAGAGGAGAGTTTGCCATTGCCTTCCTCTGCACAGCAACCCTGGAATTTCTTGGTGGTCTCCCATCCAAATACTTAGCTTCTGAGATCTGCGATCGGGCTAGTCTGGGCTATCCAGGTCAGGGGTATGTGCACTTAGCCACATCAAAATCAATGGCATAAGTGAACATGATTACATTGGCCACTATGATCAGTGTGTTTGTCACTTTATCCATGTTCTCAAAAATACCAAGTCTCATTGCTTGATCAAAATGTCACCAGGTAGAGAAAGAGGGACCTTTGAAATTGTTAACTGCTGTCACAATCCATGAAAATAGCTTTAATCTGAGTTCAGGCATGGTAGAGCCACAGTGAAGAGCTTTTAGATCCATCGGTGTCAAAGGGAGAGCAACATATGTGCTTAACTTTGCGTATATCTTTTATTTCATTGAGACTTCAAAAGCTCACTACTGAGCCAGAGTGATGTAATGGTTTGAGAGCTGGGTTCAGATGCAGACTCTGCCAAGAAGCTTATGGGTGAGTTTGGGTCACTCACCACTCTCGGCCTAACCTATCTCACAGGGTTGTTGTGAAGGTAAAATAAAATGAGGGAAAGCCATGCACATTGCCTGGAGCTCCGTGGAGGAAGGGCAGGAGAAGCATATATTAGACTAAGCCTCTGAATCCCAGAACCAGGAGGCAGCACCAGGGGAGGGCCCTGGCCTCTATGCCCTGTTGGCGGCTGTCCAGAGGAACTGGTTGGCCACTGTGTGAGACAGGATGCTGGACTAGATGGACCACTGGGCTGATCCAGCAGGTCTCTTCTTATGTTCTCATGAAGACCTCGGCCTCTATGCCCTGTTGGCGGCTGTCCAGAGGAACTGGTTGGCCACTGTGTGAGACAGGATGCTGGACGAGATGGACCACTGGGCTGATCCAGCAGGTCTCTTCTTATGTTCTCATGAAGGCCTCGGCCTCTATGCCCTGTTGGCGGCTGTCCAGAGGAACTGGTTGGCCACTGTGTGAGACAGGATGCTGGACTAGATGGACTAATGGTCTGATCCAGCAGGGCTCTTGTTCTGTTCTTAGATAGACACAACTACACCTAGATTATAAGACAGCCAGTGTGGTGTAGTGTTTAAGAGTGCTGGACTAGTATCTCAGAGGCCTGGGTTCAAATCCCCACTTGTGCCATGGAAGCTCACCGGAGTGACCTTGGGCCAGTCACACTAACCTACCTCACAGGGTTGTTGTGAGGACAAAATGGAGGAGAGGAGAACTATGTAACCCATTTTGGGTCCCCACTGGGGAGAAAGGCAGGGTACAAATGAGTTAAATAAATAAAATTATGCCCTTAATATGTAATTAGATGACTAAATAGTGACTTTGGGCTAGTCACTCTCAGGCTACCCTATTGTGGTGATGAATATACAAAAAATGATGCCGTTATTAAAGATTTAATGTATGGAGGAGAGTTCCTCTGTCTCCCGGTGGTGTCTACGAGGAAGAACCTGCAGATGGGTTTGTGAAGACGGCTGCTGGGACAGTTGCAGTTGGGGGGTCTCTAATATGTTAATAAACCTGTTGAGTTACTTCACAAGGTCCCGGGATAAGTTTCTGGGGGAACCTGGAGGACCTGGTGGAGAACTTCCCAAGTTCCCATTACCCACGTTCTTGTTGCCTTGCTTCAAAAAGGTCTGTTGTTGTGAGGGGGGAAACGGCACGGGGAGAACAATGTTGTTATCCGCTTTGGGTGGGTCTCCGCAGTGGAGGAAAATGGGGTAGAAATATCTCAATAAATAAATAAAGATGCTGAGTTCTGATGAGTTTTTAACTCCTGGACGATATGAAGCCATGTGGTTGGCGGCTGCAGTCAACCAAATCATCCCCAGTGATGGTTTTTGGGGATGGCTCTAGCTTAAGTGCTACCTTCTGAATTTGTGGCAGCAGAAGCAGACGGTGACCATTCGGTCACGAAAATTATGGAATAAAAGGAGAACGAGCCCACAGCATCAAAGCAGTCAACAGAAATTTTGCCAGAAATGATTTGGAAAGAAAAGCCCTGGGAGGTGTCTGAGTAGGAAATCCCAGGTGTCTGGGATTTCCCCCCCGCCCAAGCCCACCAAATCTGTCGCAGCTACACATACACAATCTAAGAAAAGGAGGCAGACTATACTGCGGGGGGGGGGGGAGCTTCCTCTTTATCTACAAGGAAAAGACGGTCCAACCAAACTCCACCCACTTCCCTGTCACTCCTCCCCCCAAATAGGGGAGGGGCTTGCATCACAGTGGCAGACCACATGCGTTGAATGCAGAAGATCCCTGGCACCTCCAGTTAAATGAGTGCCAATATCTAGTTTGAGGAGAAAGACCTTTCTGTGTCTGAAGCTCTGGAAATCTGCTGCCAGACAAACTGGGTAAAGCTGAGCTAGATGGACCTGTAGTTGGACTCTGCATAAGGCAACTTCATACATTTATATACGTTATAACCAAGTAACAGAAGACTCCCTAGAAGCTACAATGACTGAACTGAGGTGATTGTACTTTGGTCACATCGTGAGAAGACAAGACTCACTGGAAAAGACAATAACGCTAGGAAAAGTCGAAGGTAGCAGGAAAAGAGGAAGACCCCACATGAGGGAGATGGACTCAATCAAAGGACTGTAATACCTGAGCAAGGTTGTTAATGACAGGGCATTTTGGAGGTCATTAATTCAGAGGGTTGCCAAAAGTCAGATGCAAGTTGACAGCACTTAACAGATGTGTTTCTTGCTGCTGGACATTCTTACCATATGGGAATAACAACGCCTACGGCATGATGGACAGGCGTTATCTTCTGGTGACACAAATAACTGCATACTCTTTGGGATAAGCAAAGAGACAAGTACTCGATGTAGACTAGATGCCGTAAGTCAGAAGCAACTTCATCACACACACACAAAATAGAAGGCATTTTCTATAATGGTTTTTGGGAAAAGGGGGGCTTTCTTGGCAGCACCCACTTCATGGATGGCAGCAAAACACTGCTAGATCCTCTTGAAAATTACACCAATGCAAGTGAGGGCAATTTTCACCCATTTTCCACCCTCCCTTGGCAGCCCTCCAACTCCCCCTCCCACTCTGCTAGTAGAGGTCCCCTGTGCACCAAAAGCAGAATTTCAGGGAGGTATTTCAGGCTACAGTGAGGGGGGAGGCTGGGAAGTAGCACTTCCACGCACAGAAATTTTAGATGGGATCCAACCCACTGCAATTACCATTTCTGTAAATATATGGCTCAACAGGAACAAAGGTAGTTAGCTACACATTGCTTATTTTCTGAATACAAAACTAGTATAGTCAATAAGACATTAACTGAGGGTTTTTTAAATTTATAAAACTTCTACTTCGGTTTCAAATTGCATGCATTCCAAAGTAAAAGCAGCTGGACCATGGAAGATCCCAGTTTCAGGCGGTAGCCAGCAGTAGAACAGTCGGATTCGAGTCCAGCATCACCTGAGAGACCAGCAAAACATTTGGGGTATAAACTGCTGAGAGTCAAAGCTCCCTTCATCACATAGCTTTGATGCTAAGAAGCTTATACCCAAAAACCCTCTAAGGTGCCGCTGGATTTGGTTCTAGCTGAGGATCCGAAATGGCTTTTCAGATTAGAGCAGCACCCCTCTGTTTCAGCCACACTGTCTCTAGATCCCATATAAAATGGCTTTTGAGAGTACCTCAGCATCTATGGCATTTTTATCCTGCCTTTTGTCCACAGAGTTAGGGAACCACATGCAACAGTTGTCTCTGTTTTATCCTCATAACAGTCCTGTGAGGGTAGATGAAGGCTGAAAGAGTGTGCCTGGCTGAAGCTCACCTTGTGAGCAATGCTCCCTCTAAGCTGTGGAGTCTTGTGAGCAAAAATTCTACTTCGTGAGCTACTGGCATTAAAGTTGCGAGCAAGTGATTTGGCTGCTGCATAAATTAGTTAGCTCTGGAGCCATCCTTCCTGAGCTAAGACAAAAATGTGTGAGCCGGAGCCTAAAAAACTGTGAGCTAGCTCACACTAACCCAGCTTAGAGGGAACACTGCTTGTGAGCACCGTGGTTGAGCGCTTAAACTTGAGTCCAGCGGCCAAGATGTCTGTCAGACACAAGTCGAATTTGAACCCATGTCTCCCCAGTCCTAACAGAAAACTCTAACCACTCTAACACATTTATCATTTTGTTCCAAACTTCTATTGGTATGTGGAAAAGGGACAGACGGAAGGGGAGGGAAGAAGACATGAGCCACTTTCTTTCATTGGCTAGTATGTGGACCACGAGGGTTTTACAAAGTCTGCTTTTTATACGGAATCAACAACTTTCACATGAGTCATGTGCTCAACAGGCCGCTTACTCATGTCCCCCATTCATACTTTGAATGAAAGGCCTATGCCGACTAACATTCGGTCCCAATTTTAAAGCTATACCGCCTAGGCCACTGCAAGCCAGCAAGCAGGCAGCTGCAGCAGGAGCCTCATAAGCTGGTGAAGGGGCTAACAGAATGAGCCCTGTGGTTTTCGTTGTGTTTGTCACCAAGTCACAGTTGATTTATGGTGACCCTGCAGGGTTTTCAAGGCAAGAGTTGTTTGCCACTGCCTGCCTCTGCGTCACAACCCTGGTATTTCTTGGGGGGGGGGGGGGTTTCTCCCAACCAGATACTAGGCAGGGCTGATCCTGCCTAGCTCCAGAGATCTGACAAGATCAGGCTAGCCTGGGCTATCTAGGTCCAGGTAGCAGTGCCATACCCAGTTCAAATGCCCGTCCACCAGGCACTGGCCTTGGCCACTTTCCCCCAGGTTCACTCCTCCTTTGAAACCTGGGGTCATATCATGCTACCTTAGAAGGCTGTTGTAAGAAATACAAGTGTTCCTACACACTAAATACAAGTATTCCTAAGTGGCACATGTCAGGCGTTATTGCTTTCATTTGGCAGGGAGCCCCTGTCCTGCTTCTAGGTGCACCTGGGAGGCAAAATGTAATGCTAAGAAGTACAAATCTAACGTACGCGCACGCATAAGGAGAAAATCAGTTGAAAAGCGCTTCGTTCTCTGCCATGCAATTCACATTGGGCCCAATACGCACTCCGCCCCGGGCCTTTGGGATCAGGCGAGGCTAGGTCTGCTTTTCGCGAGCAAACCAGTCCCAGGAAATGGGGGGCTCATACCTGCCGCGCCGTCCGGAAGGTCCTTATCCGGCCGGCCGTGCTCTGCTCCCCCCTGCTGCCTGTCGTTGTCGCACACGCCCTGATCCAGCCGAGCCTCGGCTCGGGCGCAGCAGTAGCGAAGGGCGCAGGTGCCGCAGCAAATGGTGGCGTCGCCGTCGTCGAAGTGCTCCGGGCACTGGAATCCGTCCCGCCAGACCGCCCCGTCCAGCCAGCCGTGGCAGTACTCGCCGCTGGCCCGCGTCCTCGCCGCCAGCCCCAGAAGCAGCGGCAGCCAAAGCCACCCGCCCAGCGCCGGCCGCCTCCCAGAACAGCGCCCCCTCCACATGGCACCGCTAGGGGGCGGCGGCGGCGGCAGCGCCCAAACTCGGGCCCCAAGTCAGAGGCGCAGTCCTCCAGAAAGACGGGCGGGCTTCTCCTCCGGCTGTCGTGCGACGTGGAGAGAAGCAGGAGACCGCGCGCGGGACTGACCGCGTGGACGTGTCCCAACTAATGTCTAAGAGTGTTCTAAGAGGTTGCGTGGTGGGGGCACAACTGCGGGAGGCCACGTCTAAGACTGTGTGGGACGGGACCGTCCTCCAAGCGGCGAGCGTCCCTCAGGCGAGAAAAGCAGGTCTACATCAGCCGGTCTGCGCTCGGCCTGTATTGCACTGGGGAGAAGGGGGCCCCGTTGAGATCCACGCGGGCCCTCAGCTGCGCCACTTTGGCATCGCGGGCCCAGCGTCAGTCACCCGCCACGCGGGGATTCGGACGTCAGGGCGCTTCCCTGAAACGCCCGCGCCCCCTTCGCGGAGTCCCTCGTGGCTAGTGGGGTGAATCCCACTTGCGAGGTGCGTGAAGCGCTTCGGGGCAGCGCGCGATATCCGGTCCACGGATTCAGCCGGGCCGGCGACGCCCCCAGACTGGCGAGCGGGAAGCCAGGAGAGGCTCGCCTGAGCCGAAGGAAGGAGTCAGTCCCCCTGACGAGCCCCGAGAACTCCCGTCTGCGAAGGCGAGGCGCTGCACGGGGAACTCATTGGCCGGCAGCGCCTCCGGAGCTTCCGAGCCGGGCGCCGGGCTGCCCCGCGAAACGGCGGGGAGGCTGCTGAGGCGGGAGAGCGGCACGCGCTCGCAGGCAGTGGAGAGGCGAGAAGCTGCCCGAGGCAGGCGGCGGCCAGAGGGGGTGGCCGAGGGTGGGAGACGCGCCAGAGCCCGCCGTCCCCTCGCCGGTCAGCAGCACAGCCGGGGAGCCGAGGCGGGACCACGGGGGGTGGCGGAGGCCCCCAGGCAGGCGGGACGGAGCGAGGGACTCTCAGTCAGCACCCTTCATCCCTGGCTCGGCGGCGCCCGTGCCTCAAGGGGCGGCGGGCGGGACGGACGGAAGGAGGGCGACCCCGGCGAGGCGTGGCCAAGGGCTCCCTCCCACACGGCGTGCGCCTCACGTTCAAACCGCAGCCGTGGCCAGTCCGGGCGCTCCGCGTGGCCTCCCTCGCCGCCGCCTCCTCCGCCCCGGCACAGCAGAGGGTCAGCCGGCCGCTCCAAAAGTCGCCATGCCCGCTTCCCTCGAGCCCTGCTGCCGGGCAGCGACTCCCGCCGCGCACGAGGTGGACCGCAGAGCGCTGCTCTCTCCTCTCCGGCGCCTGGAGTTTTCCCTCTCGGCCGGTGGTTCCTCCGCTCCCTTGGCGAGAGAGGCCAGCAGGAGCGCCCGGCGGTCTGGCTCTCCCACTCTCCTGGAAAGAAGCGCAGCTACTCTTGCTGCTCGCGCCCGGCCGCCCGGCCGCCCTTTCCCTGAACACGAGCGGCGCCTGGGAAACTCCTTGGCGCGGCTGCCTGCCGGAGGTGGCCGCCAAGCCAACAGCCGCTGCCTGCCGGGGCGCGCGGGCTCCCTTCACTGCTCCTTCGCGGACTTGCTTTCTGTGTTATTATAGGCACCCTACAGCCTCCAGGCGCGCATGCGTCCTCCAGACCGGCTGCACTCCCACCCTCCTCTTCCCCCATGAACGGAGAGCTTTTGATTTTCTTCCTTTCGCCGCGACGCAGAGCGGGGAAGACGAGTCAATATCCTAAGAAAAGAGGAGAAGGTGGCGATCCGCTGCCTGGCGGGGAAAGGGCGGCTGTCTCATCCGCGGCATGAAGAATAGTGGCTCTGTCCGCTAGTGCACGTTTGTAGCCTTCCAGCGTCTTACGCGAGAAAATAGGTACTCTTTTGTTAGTTTAAAAGCTGGCGAGGCACACTCCTCAAATCACCACGAGAAAACGTAACGTGGGAAGAGTAGCGCAGTCGGGTGTTTCAGAGCAAATAACACTGAGGGACGCTACTGTTTTTCATCCCCTCCCCAAAACAAATTTCATATACAGATATAAATTCTCCATGGGAATTTTGTGCCCTGTTTGTACAATGCAAAGAACATGCACATTTGTTTCAGTGCATACACCACATGACAAGAAGCCCTCTTCGCTGGTACTGTGTTCACCACATATATAAGAAGGAAAGAAGAGCCATGCTGGATAAAGACAGTGGTCCATCTAGTCCAGCATCCTGCCTCACACAATGGCCAACCAGTTCCTCTGGAGACCCATCAATTCATTACACATGCAGGATAGCATATGTGTACGTTGCACATCTGAAATGAGAATCCTTCATTTGGAGGGACTGGGACATAATTGTCATTTGAAACCATGCTGCACAAACAGAACCATATAAAGTCATTTGTAAGGTGAAAAGGCAGCACTGAATTCCTTTGTGGCTGAGCAAATAACACGTTTAAATATTAGTAGCAGATACACATGAAATACATAGCCTAGCAAAGTTTAAATGTTAGGTCATGAGCGCTATGAGGCAATCAGTGGGCTAGAAGACTGCCTGCAGCGCAGCAGGCCCTGGGCACAGCCTAGCCAAACTTAAGCTAACACGTCATAAAAGTAGAATTCAGAGTCATCCAATGACATTGGTTGTCAGATCCAGGACAGATAAAAGGAGTGCAGTCTTCACACAATGCATCATGCACCTAATTCATTGCCACAGTATGTAATGATAGCCCCTGGTGTGTCTTGCTTTGAAAGACCTACTGGGGAAATTCAAAACCGATAAGTCTCCAGGTCCTGATGGCAAACATGCAAGAGTTCTTAAGGAACTCAGATGTGAGATATTTGATCTACTAACATACATATACATACATATACACACACCTATCACTACATTCAGCCGCTGTACCAGAATACTAGAGAGTAGCAAATGTTACACCATTTTTTTAAAAAGGTATCCAGAGTGAAATCAGGAAATTACAGGGTAGTCAGCCTAATGTCTGTCCCGGGCAAATTAGCAGAAACCGTAATCAAAGATAGAATTGTTAGGCACATAGAGGGACAAATCCTGCAGAGGGAAAAATCAGCATGGCATCTGCAAAGGGAAGTCCTGCCACACCAACTTTCTTTGAGAAAGTGAGTAAGTAGGTAGACAACAGTGACCCGGTAGATATTATATACTTGGACTTTCAAAAGGCTTTTGACAAGGTAAATTTAGCAGTCATGGGATAAGAGGATGGGTTTTCTTATGTATTAAAAACTGGCTAAATGACAGGAAGCAAAGAGTAGGAATCAATGGACAGTTCTCTCAATGGAGGGAAGTAAGCAGTGGGGTCCCACAAGGACTGGTATTGGGGCCGGTGCTATTTAATTTATTCATCAATGATCTGCAACTAGGGGGTGAGTAGCGTAGTGGCCAAGTTTGCAGATCACACCAAATTATTCAAGATGCTGAAACCCAAGGCTGACTGTGAAGAGCTCTAAGAGGTACTTCACAAACTGGGTGAGTGGGCAAATGAAGTTCAGTGTTGGTAAGTGTAAGGTGATGCACACCGGGACAAAAAAATCCCACCTTCATGTATAGGCTGTTGGAGTCTGAACATATTGAGACTGAGAGGGGAAAAGATCTTGGGGTCACAGTGGATAGCTCAATGGAAGTGTCAACCCAGTGTGCTGCAGCAGTGAAAAAGGCAAACTCTATGTTAGGGATTATTAGGAAGGGGATTGAGAATAAAACAGCCAATATTGTAATGAATAGATCTATGGTGTGGCCTCATTTGGAATACTGTGTACAGTTCTGGTCACAGTATCTCAAAAAGGACATTGCAGAGCTGGAAAAAGTACAGAGGAGGGCAACCAAGATGATTCAGGGGTTGTTGGAACACCTTCCTATGAGGAATAGCCAAAGTCAGTATAGAAACGAGACGACTAAGGGGGGACATGATAGAGGTTTGTGTATGGGGTGGAGAGAGTTGACAAAGAAAATTTTCTCCCTCTCCCAAAATAGTAATACTCGAGGACATCCAATGAAGCTGATGGGCAGTAGGTTCAGAACGGGCAAAAGGAAACACTACTTTACATAATTTATTAATTTATTAAATTAACTATTGATTAAAATGTGGCATAAGGCTGTGAGACCTGGGAATGTTTCGGATGGAGGGGGGGGCATGATTGCTCGCTCTAAGTATTTGAAAGGCTGTCACTTAGAGGAGGCCAAGGAGCTTTTCCTGTTGGCAACAGAGGATAGGACTCGCAATAATGGGTTTAAATTGCAAGTGGAAAGATACCAGCTGGATATTAGGTTTTTATTTTTATACAGTAAGAATAGTTCAGCAGTGGAATCGGCTGCCTAGGACGGTGCTGAGCTCCCCCTCACTGGCAGTCTTCAAGCAGTGGCTGGACGAACACGTGCCAGGGATGCTTTAGGCTGATTCTTCATTGAGCAGGCAGTTGGACTAGATGGCCTGTATGGCCCCTTTCCAACTATATGATTCTATTACTCTGATGGATCAGGCCAGTTGTCCATCTAGTACAGGAGGGGCCCTCATTCTTGTTGAGCCTATAGGCGCTTCTAGAATTCTGAGAACTAGGAGTGGGCATAGGGTTGCCAGGTCTGGGTTGGAAAATACCTGGAGACTTTGGGGGTGGAGCCAGGAGAAGGTGGGGTTTGGTGAGGGGAGGGGCCTCAGCATAGTATAATGCCATAGAGTCCACCCTTCAGAGCAGCCATTTTCTCCAGGGGAACTGATCTCCAGCACAAAATGGATTCCACAGAAGGCAATCACAAAATGGCTGACATGGGATGCTGGGGCCAATCACAAAATGTCAGGTAGTTGCAAACCAAGCATCCTCCTTACGAGGGAGGTTTCTTAATAGGTCTGGACCATGTGGTCCTCACTACAGACACAAAGACGATCTCTCCCGAGTTCCTCTGGAACACCTCCTGCTCCTGTGGAGGAAAGCCAAGACTCTTTTGCGTTTGGGGGATAAGAAAATGGGTACCAGGAAACATAACTGAGAGGCAGTGGGAATCATTGTGTCAGCTAAGCTGCCATGGGGTTGGGGAGGTCAGTTGTACTCTAATTGCCATTGCATTCCTTCTGTGCTTCTTCACTGCTGTAACGCTTATCTCTAAGTTCTGCAGGTGGTGGGATGTTGATGTCTAGTTCCAAGGGAACCGTGGGAGCGAGCTTGGCTCCCAGCTTCAGCGCAAACGGCCAGAGCGCCTTCTCCCGTGTGCAGGAGTGTGGCTAATTGGCCAGGGCAGTGGGGGGGGGTGCATACGAATACCCTATATCCTATTATGTCCCAGGGGCAGCCGCCATTCTTAACAGTGTCTATATTAATGCATCGATAGCTCTTCAATAAAGTATTACCTTGCCTGATAAGCGTGTACTACGTTGTTGGCTGTGGGTTCTGACACATTGTAGCACAGTATCCTGTTTTCTTACAGCATCACACTGATTGCTCATATTTAGCTTACAGTCCACCCATACCCCAAGATCTTGT